GTGGAAGCTCCTCCACGCTGGAGGCTTGAAGATTACGGGGTGGAAGCTCCTCCACGCCAGGCATGACTGAAAGTGAAAAGAACTATGTATTGAAAGTACCCAAGTTACCAGCACATCTTGTTGAATTGTTCATAGTTAATATTGTTCAGAGGCAGAATTTATAATAAATCAGCAAAAACAATTGATTCATTCATTTTAAACTAGAATGCTTGTCTTTGAACCCCGATCTGTATTTGTATAATACAAAACGGCCATAAAATTCCCCAAATTGCTAACTCAGTTCCTTCAAGTTATCGTGCATACAGACCAGACAGAAAAACAAGCAGAATGTAACTTTTGGTCAGTGGAGTAATGGGCTTCCCTTATCACTCAGCCAACCAAACTTCGCTGACAAACACTTATGTTAAAAAATGAAACTATCAAGCAAATAGCAGCAATTATCTGACATTGTCTTTAACAGCAATGTAACTGTTACATAGAGAAGTTAAGTCAGTATGCGAAAGACGTTTGCTCCCGCAACATTACCTGCCTTGTGGGAGAAGTGATCATCTCCCTTAAGGCAAGCAATTTGAAAGGGCAAACGTGCCCTAATCAGCAGAGTAAAAGTACTTACCAATTTCCAACCTAAAGGTGACGGACCCTCGTTGGCTCCTCAGAATTTTAGCCAGCTGGCCCAAACCCTCCGTCACGGGATCCTGAGCAGCAGCACGACGCACGGGGAGGACCTGCAGGTTATTTGCGGCGGGCGCAGCAGGCGGGGGGCTCCTTGCAGGAGGCGGGGGGCAAGGAGCCGACGAGCTACTTTGGGTAGGCGGGTTGAAGCGCTCCAGCCTCCTCCGCCGCAATTCTTCAGGACTGCACAATAAAACGAGCAACTGATAAAGACCGGGTGCGCAATACTTGGTTTGAACTTAACCATTAACAACTGATAACTGGCAAAGCAAAGGAAGACCAATAATGAGAAAACTCAGGCCCAGGAGCCAAGCATCGTGGGTACAACGGCAGTCTAGGTTAGGGACCCCTCTGACGAAAACTCGCGTGCGCCTGAGTACTAGGCTACCATGCGCTACAGGCGTGTAGTGCGGGCAGTCTAAGTGACGTCACCACAGGCGCAAATACCTGTTTTTAAAACTTTTTCCAGTGATCGCGTCACCGCTACCTGGCACGCTGCATAGTTATGGATAGGGCACTGTACGGCCTACGTATTGGCAAAAACAATATGTTAGATTTTGCCAATTTTGGCTGCCAGGAGCGAGCCGCGCGGCCCGCGACGTTGGGGCCCTGGAGACGCCCGGTCAGTCGCGAGCTCGGATTCACCATGTCGGATGTGAAGTAGGACCCATATGGTCACAATTTAAACCGGAGACGTCTCTTCTGACCCAACTGTGCCAGCTCGGCAGAGCCAACAAGATAGCGGGTCGCCGCGCGCTAATATCGAGCCCGCTCAGAAAATCGCGATGCGCGTCGGGGGTAAACGTTATCGCACAGAGCCCAAACTTAGCACAGGGTCTCAACTTGGTCCAATCTTTCATTTGAGGTGACTCTGGTGCTATTTCAAATTTTGTAGAGAAATTGATGGCAGCCAGTGCAATTTGTTCTTACAAACTTTTCAAACCGAAACTGATAGGAATTCGTGGACCTTTGAATGCCCAGACGACACCCCACAACAGCCAGAGGGAACCAATCATTGTGGGGTGTACACCTGCATGTTTGCAGACGCTGTGCTAGGAGGTTCAAGTATCATTCCAACAAAACCAGAGGAATTGGCAAATGTAAGTATACCTCATACATTAGAGTTAGGGAGGAACATCGAAACAAACTCATGATTTTTATAATGATTAATATGTCATCTTTCATCAGGAGCGTAAGCAAAGAAGAATGTGCCGAAAGCTGAACACATCAACTATTACACCACTATCCAAGTCCGAAGTAACTGCCAATTTTCTTCTTTAAAAGTACTATCAACGGATGAGCAAACCACCCCCATCTGGGAGTACTTGGTGAATCTGCACAAGACTTTATACAAGGCTGAATCTGATCGGTGTGCCCTAGATACATGTGAGATGAAAGGAAAATATCAAGTTTACTGTGTTGGATTAAAGTGCCGTGATTGGTGCCACCTTACATGTTTACATGAGCCAGATAACGATGAAAACCTGCCTCAATTTTACCAATGTCCCTCGTGTTCTGATGGCTTAAATATTGTTTGTCAATCTTAAAAGTTGTATTGTGTCATATTTCAGGCAAATTTCGACAAAGTGGCGCATGTCCAAAAATAACAATTTTACAGGAGAGGCAAAACTATGTTTGTATATCTGCAAGATAGAATTTTTAACCTAGAGCTGTAAATTTTAAATATTGTATTCTGTTTTTGATATGTTACATTTTGATTGTTACCCTGTGTGGTTAAAATGCATAGCAGAGGAGATAAGGGGCATTCGCCAATTTCATGTTGAAATAAAATGTGACAAAGAGGCGAATGTCCACAAAATTTTGACAGAGTGGCGAATGTCCAAGAACCAGTTTGACAAAGTGGCGAATGTCCATGGATATTTTGACAGACTGGCGTATGTCCAAGAACCAGTTTGACAAAGAGGCGAATGTCCACAGAACTTCTGACAGAGTGGCGTATGTCCCAAAAACACTTTAAACACTTTAACATTAGGAGGAAACATCAATTGACGTAGGAGGGCACCGAAGGTTAGAACTTCCTTTACAAAAAGCAATTTTTTTGACGTCCGTAGCTGCACTCGTTTCGGAGTTATGGCAGTTTGAGTATGGACGTGATTTTGATCCGAAATAGGGACACATGAACCTATTTCGGATTAGCTTTGGATCAAGATGGCGATTTTGCCATATTGTAGGCTACAATTTGTAGCCTGACAGAAGTCAGCTCTAGAAGCAATCAAGATTTTGGTCCACAGTCCACAGGGTCTGAGTAGTATAAGGGGAACCTGGTCGCGGGCACCTGGTCGCGGCTTGGGAGGGGGGAGCAAAGGACGGTCAGGGCACCTGGCCTCAGAGCACAGGGCACTTGGTCGCGGCTGCCTCAGGGCACTTGGAGTGGGCAATCTTGTTGTGACGTCACAGCCAAAAATGCTTTTGCCGGAGAGTGGAATCGAACCCGCAGTCATGGGCTTACGGGACGAGTCCGCTAACCCCTAGACTACGAGTCAGGTATAGGGAGGATGGCGACCTGACGGGGTATTGTTCCGCTGGCGCGGCGGTGCTCGGTCGGTTCGGCTCCGCTCGGCTCCGCTCGGCTCCGCTCGGCACCGCTCGGCTCGGGCTCGGCCCGGGCCCCGGCCGGCCCGGCTCGGCGCCGGATTTGAAAGACGGAGAGGGGGTACGCTCGCCCGAGTCTGATGCGGTTGTAATGCAATGGTGGGGGAGGCTGCGCCCGTCGGACGGCCATACGGACAGACACAATATTTGGAGGGATAAAAGGGCTTGCTCTGCGGGGGTCTTGTCACAGTCGCATCGGACGCACTCTGCTGAGTTGTGCTCCGCCGCGAAGAGATGACGTCCTTTAGGGGTGGACTTTTCGGGTGGCGTAATGTCACGATGGAGTGGGGCCCTTTCAAATCCTTGACGATAATGCAACCATCGTACATCAGCGCATTGCCACAAAGGGATGTTATGATAAGTCGTTTCACCTTGCCAGTGCCCCATAGCGCTAGTGTCGTGACAGCTCCGGACGCCGTTCAGGAGGAAGAAGAAGATGAGGAGGAGGAGGAGGAGGAGGAGGAGGAG